GCGCTTCCACAGCAGGGGGCATGGGTTCGATCCCTGGTCAAGGAACTAAGATCCCACATGCCACAACACAGCCAAATAAATAAATAAATAAAAATAAAAACCTGTTGCTTAGCAAGTTAAAATATACAGAGTAAATGTAACAAACCATAGATGACAGACCTACTTGCCTGACCTAAACCACTTTCTTCCTTTCACCTTAAATACCCCAAGGTATACCTCAGCATCTATGTGCACTAGCTGTTCCCTCAGCCTTAAACGTTCTTCCCCTAGACTCTTGTTTACTATTTTTAAAATTTGAAGTATAATTAAACATTCAATAATAGGCACAGGTCTTAACAGTTCTGTTCGATGACTATTGACAATGGTCTATACCCATGTAACTATCACCCAAAACAAAATACAGAACACTCCCATGATCTCAGGAAGTTCTTTCATGTCTTTTTCTAAACAGCTTCCTTCCCTTCCCAACCTACAATTATCTTCTGATTTCTATCACTACAGAATAGTTTTGTCTTTTCTTGAACTTCATATAAACAATACAGTATATGCTCATTTATGTCTAGTTCCTTTCACTTAACACAATGGTTTTGAGATTCACCTGTGTTGTTGGGTGTATCAGGTGATGGGTACTGTGAATACACCACACACACACAAAAAATACACCACAAGTTGTTTATCCATTTTCCTGTACATGGACATTTCAGTTGTTTCCAGTTTGGGGCTTTTATGAATAAGACTGCTATGAACATTCTTGAATTCATAATTTTGAGGAAATATGTTTTCATTTCTCTTCATTAAAGGGGTAGAATGTTAAATCATAGGATGTATATATGTTTAACTTCCGTAGAAAATGCCAAACAGCTCTCCAAAGTAGCTATACTATCTGGCACACCCATCAGCAATGGATGAATTCCAGTTGCATCACATCATGCCCAACATTTAGTATCTTCAGCCTTTCTCTTGTTAGCCACTCTAGAGTGTGTGAGACAATATCTTATTATGAATTTACTTTGCATTATTTCCCTGTTGACTAAGTGTTGTTGACTACCTTTGCAAGTGCTTATTGGTCATTAGTATATCCTCTTTGGGGAAGTCTGTTACTGGGTTATTCCTCTTTTCCTCATTTTACTATTGAGTTATTGCACTTCTTTACATACCCTAGATATAAGTCCTTTGACAGATAGATATGCTGGAAATTTTTTTTCCCTACTCTGGACTTACCTACTCTTTTTCTTAGTGGTATCTTTTATTACTTTTTAAAATATTTATTTGGCTGTGCTGGGTCTTAGTTGTGGCACGTGGGATCTTTAGTTGTGGCATGAGAACTCTTAGTTGTGGCATGTGGGATCTAGTTCCCTGACCAGGGATCAAACTTGGGCCCCCTGCATTGGAAGTGTGGAGCCTTAGCCACTGGACCACCAGGGAAGTCCCTTAGTGTTATCTTGTAAAAGGCAGTAATGTTAAATTAGTTGAGGTCCAATTTATCAATTTTTTTTCTTTTATGTATCTTTTTTCTTTTAGGATCTTATCCAATAAATATTTGAATACTCCAAAGTCATAGGGATATTCTCTTTTTTTTTCTTCTAGAAGCTTTGACATTTTAAAAATATGTCCACAAATTATTTGATACTCCTCCCTTCAGGAGGTGAGGCTTAATTCCTCTACCCTTAAACATGGGCTGGAGTAATGAGTAGAATATGGTGGAAGTGATGGTATGTGACTCCCAAGACTTTGTCATAAAAGGCAATGCCACTTCCTCCTTGTGCTCCCTCTTTGATCACTTACTCTGAGGGAAGTCAGCTGCCGTGTTATGAGGGCACTCAAACAGCCCTAAGAATAGGCTCATGTGGTGAAGAACTGAGTCTCCAGCCAATAGCCAGTGAAGAGCTCAGGCCTCTAGCCAATAGCCGTGCGACATAAGCCATCTTAGAAGGGGATTCTCCAGCCCCAGTCAAGCCTTCAGATGATTACATTCTTGCTAAAATCTTGGCTACAACTGGATGAGAGACTCTGTGCTAGAATTACCTAGCTAAATTCCTCCTGTATTCCTGACACAGATTAACTGTAACATAATAAATATGTGTTACTTTAAGCCAGGAAGTATTGGGAAATTTGTTATGAAGTGAGAGATAATACAGAAATTGTATCGTTTTTGCTTTTGCATTTTAGATAAATGATCCACTGCAAATTAGTTTCTGTGTATGGAATGAGTTGAGGTGATAGTTCATTGTTTTCCATATAGATATCAAGTTAGAGCAACATTTGTCTTTCTTTCTCCCATTGGACTGACTTGGCACTTTGGTGGGAAAATGTATGAGTCTATTTCTGAGATCTCTATTGTATATCACTGATCTAAATGTCTATCCTTATGCCAACACTACACTGTCTTGATTACTGTAGCTCTGTGGAAAATCCTGACATCAGTAAACAAAAGTCCTCCAACTGCCTTTTTCAAAATTATTTTGGCTATTCTTAGACCTTTACATCTTGGTAAGTTTATAGAATTGTCTTATCTATTTCTTCAAACAAAGCCTACTAGGATGTTAAAGAAGACTGAATTGAATCTATCGGTCAATTTAGAGAGAATTCCATCTTAATGTTAAGTCTTCCAATCCGTGAATATGGAATATCACCATTTATCTGGGTTTTTTTTTAAACTTACATTAGCAATGTTTCTACCTTTTCAGTGTTGAGAGCATATCCTTAGTTACATTTATTCATAGGTATTTACTTTTTTTTATGCTATCAGAAATAACCATTTTTATTTCAGTTTTCAAATAGTTCATTGCTAATATTGAGAACTACAAATTATTTTCATATAGTGATTTTGCTAAATTCACTTATTAAAATTGTTTTTTGTAGATTCTATAGGGTTTTCCATGTACACAATCATGTCATATGTAAGTAACAGTTTTACTTCTTTTCTAATTTTTATGCTTAATTATGTTCTTTTTCTTGACTTATTACACTTTCTAGGATCACTAGTTCAATGTTGAATAAAGGTGATGAAAGAGAAATATATATCCATATTACTGCTTTAAAATCTTTAGGATCTATAGCTAAGGTTGGCAAATGTTTTCTACAACAGGTCACAAAGTAAGTATTTTATGCTTTGCAGGTCATACAGTCTGTTACAATTATTGTACACTGTGGATGTAGCAAGAAAGCAGCCATGGACAATACATAAACAAATGAGCATGGCTATGTTCCAATAAAACTTTACGGTCACCGAAATTTGATTTTCCTACTTTCACATGTCACAAAATATTAGTCTCCTTTTGATTCTTTTTCAGCCATTTTATTACATATAGACCATTCTAGGTCACAAGCCACACAGGAACAGGTAATGGGCTGGATGTGGCCTACAAGCTGAAGTTTGCTGATCTCTGGTTTAGACCATTGATTTGAGAGCTTTCTTCTTTCCTAATATAAGAATTTAATGCAATGTTTCCCTCCAAACAGTGCTTAATGGCACTACTATTTGTTTCATTTGTGCTTTGTACTGGTTTTTTAGCCATCGCTATAGGATTGTCAATTTACATCTTTAACTTTACACAGTCTTCAAATAACATACAGCCAGCCTGCCATATACATGGGTTCCACATCTGCAGACTCAACCAACTGCAGATCAAAAAAAAAAACAAAACCCAGAAAGTTCCAAAAAGCAAAACTTAAATTTGTTGCATGCCAGCAACTATTAACATAGCATTTACATTGTATTCACAACTATTTACATAGCATTTACCTTGTATTAGGTATTATAAATAATCTAGAGATGACTTAAAGTATACAGGAGGATGTGCATAGGTTACATACAAATACTGTGCCATTTTACATAATGGACTTGAGAAATCTGAGGATTTTGGTATCCAAGGGAGGTCCTGGAACCACTTCCCGGGGATAACAAAGAATGACAGTACCACTTAACCTGTTCTAAGAACCTTACAACAGCATTGATTCCCAATCTGAATGTTATACTCAGGCCAAATTATTTATCAAGGTTAAGAGGGAAATAAAGGCATTTTCAGAAATGCAACATATCAAATAATTTGCCTCCCATTCACCCTTTCTTCAGCAAATTGTGGGAGTAAACCAAGAAGGAGGAAGACATAGAACAGAAGAAACAGAAGATCCAACACAGAAGAAAAGGAAATGCCTAGAATGATAGCTGGGCACTATGAGAAAATGGAAACCACTCCAGACTGGAGCACGTTACTCTGGAGGGACTTCTCTGAGATGACGACATTGACAGAATAAATTATGTGAAAGAAAACAGGAAATTTGGGCAACTGGTAGCAAATTTTGAGTTGAGTTAGTGATAAGGACACAAAAAGCCATATAAACAAGTTATGTCCCAAACTGAAAGCATCAAATACATTACTTGAAAAATCACAGGTAAACACAAAACAGCTAGGAGTTGAGAGTGGTTACCTGAGAAGGGGAAGTGAAGGTGGGGACCAAGAAGTACTGTCTGTCTGGACAATCCCTGACAAACTACTTGGCTCATTAAACTGTATAACTCTGAAGAAGAAAAATATGGAAGATAAGGAAATAAGGTACTTAAGGATTTCCCAAGGACATAAAACCATCTTGGCAACTAAATGTGACCTCTGGAAACCAAGAAGTCTAACAAAATTGTCCTGCAAAATAGAAAACAACACAAACGAATGCATTTGATGGGTCGAAAAGGGCAAGAAAAAAGCAACATTACGCCTGTGCTATCATAACTCTTGTCAAATGCGTGACGTCAAGAGCAGAAATCCCTAGGTTTCTGTGCTTCAGTTCCCCCGTCTATAAAGTGTGTGTAACAGTATCCCTCTCCCAGGACTGTAATGAGGCTTCAACCCAATAATGAACATAAAGTGCTTACAGCAGTGTTAGAAATAAATATTAACACAGTTAATACTTTAACTCTTTTTAAATAACTGAAATTATTTTTTATTTCAAATCATTCAACTTAATTGTCACAATGATACTGAAAAGTTTATTTGAATGTTTACCTTGTCTATTCAAACATCAAGGCCTCTAACCCTTTCCCATATCTCCAAAAAGGGTGGGGGGCACTGTGGGGGGAAGAAGATAAACTGTCTGATGACCCAAGAGAAACAGAAATAACAATTAATGAAGGCTGTCTCTAAAGATGCTTATCATTCTGAAGAACTAAGTGCACCTGAAAAACTACTCAGGATACCAGGCTTTATCTTACACTTCTTAGTTGATTATGATCAATCATTCACTCACTAAGTAAGTCAGCAATTAGAACTGAAAACTTGGTCCTAACTATACATTAACTCAATAATGCTGAGACCAGCATTTTTCCACTTCTAAAGAGATAAAGTCTCCAACTTGTGCTCTCCAAGTTCAGTTCTACTTTGTTATGAAACCTGAGAAACATTTTTCCAAAGGAAAAAAGTATGAAATAAAGTTCAGATCCTGGGCAAGAAATAAAGGCCAATTTAATCCACATATACCTAAGAACCGTGGAAAAAAGAAAAGAATAAATATAACCATGTTAGGTGGCTTTCAATCTCTTGTGCTCTAACAGCTAGCAAAAAAATAGTTACTTAAGAGTTGTCCCACACTTTGTTTTATTCATCTTTGGATCCTTGTAAACATAAACAGTATGTAACAGAGTACCTGACTTCTATTAGAAGCTTAAAATATTTATTTAACAAATGAATAACTAGAATTAAGAGTACTATTTGAACTATACTCTTTTTATGGAGAAATACACTACAATTTGCAATTGAAGGAACATTTTCCTTTATCTTGGCAACAAGATCAGAGTTTGAACACCAAGAACAATAAAGCCTGGGCAGATACTCCATCTACATAATAGTCATTTCTCCTAGAAATCACATTTTGGTCACAGATCACTCCTACTGTTTTGAAGTATGTATAAATCACTAAGTTGGGTTTCATAATATAAAACTTGACCTCCAAAATTCCCTGCTTCTTTCCCTTCACCAATATCTTATATAAAAATTGCAGCCATCAATATTTTATCTGGGAGGATTCCCCCCCCCCAGTTTTATTGAGATATAATTGACATATAACATTGCATTAGTTTAAGGTATAGGGTAAAATAATTTGATATATGTATATACTACAAAATGATTACCACAATAAGTTAACAACCATCACCTCACATAGTTATAAATTTTTTTCTTGTGATGAGAACGCTTAAGATTTACTCTGTTCGCAATTTTTAAATATTTAATGTAGTACTGTTAACTACAGTCACCATGCTGTACATTACACCTCCAGAACTTATTTATCTTATAACTGACGTCTGTACCTTTTGACCACCTTCCCCTATCTCCCCAGGCCCACCCCTCTGACAACCACCAATCTGTTCTGTTTCTGTGCCTTCAGTTTTTTTAGATTCCACATTTAAGTGATATCATAAAGTATTTGTCTTTCTTGGTCTGGCTTATTTTACTTAGCATAATGCCCTTGAGGTCCATCCATGTTGTTGCAAATGGCAGGATTTCCTTATTTTTATGGTTGAATAATACCCCATTGTATATATACACACCACATTTTCTTTTTTTTTTTAAATGATTTGGCCTCCCAGGTCCAAGTCAGTATTTTTTCTTTTTTTGTAATTTATTTATTTATTTATTTTTGGCTGTGTTGGGTCTTTGTTGCTGCGCATGGGCTTTCTCTAGTTGCATCAAGTGGGGTCTGCTCTTCGTTGTGGTGCGTGGGCTTCTCATTTTGGTGGCTTCTCTTGTTGCAAAGCACGGGCTCTAGGTGCGCGGGCCTCAGTAGTTGTGGCTCACGGGCTCTAGAACGCAGGCTCAGTAATTGTGGCACATGGGGTAGGTAGTTGTAGCTCGCAGGTTCCAGAGCACAGGTTTCAGTAGTTGTGGTTCTCAGGGTCTAGAGCGCCGGCTCAGTAGTGGTGCATGGGCTTAGTTGCTCCACGGCATGTGGGATCTTCCCAGACCAGGGCTCAAACCCATGTACCCTGCATTGGCAGGTGGATTCTTAACCACTGCACCACCAGGGAAGTCCCATACACCACATTTTCTTTATCCATTCAGCCATCAATGAACACCTAGGTTATTTCCATGTCTTGGCTATTATAAATAATGCTACAATGAACATGGGGGTGCAGATATCTCTTCAAGACAGAGATTTCACTTCTTTAGAATATGTTCCCCAAAGTGGAATTGCTGAATTACACAGTAATTCTATTTTTAATTTTTTGAGGTCGATTTTTTAATCTAAAATTTATTTTTAAATTTTTTTGAGGTAGAAAGCAGTTTCTATACTACCTCTAGTCAGTACCAAAGGTTATCAACTGAAAAATTAATACAATGGACCAAAAAATGTAATAAAAAACACTTATTAAAAGATTCAATACTCAGGGACTTCCCTGGTGGTCCAGTGGTTAAGACTCCATGCTTCCACTGCAGGGGGCACAGGTTCAATCCCTGGTCAGGGAACTAAGATCCTGGATGCCAGGTGCAGCATGGCCAAAAAAAAAAAACCAAGATTCAATATTCAGAAGAAATTCTGTTTAAAACCCAACATTTCTCTAGTTCAAATGCCAACTACCTATACTTAGACATTCCAGAAATGAAAGTAGATAAAATTACCCAACCCAATAACATAAATTATGTTAAGAACAAAAATAATTGCAAAACAACTGAAAATTATAGGTTAACATTACAGAATTTAGTAAACAATGAATTCGATGTCCACATTGCAAAGCTGACTTCCATAGTTTAAAACCTGAGTTTACCTAAAAAAGAACACCCTTAATATTTCATTACTCAAAAAAACAACTCAATCTCTATGATACATCCTTAAAGAAATAAAGATTAATTTATCCTAGAGAGCCAGGGTTCACATCAAGCTTTATGGAATGACTGATAATCACATTTCTTCTTCCAAACATAAAATTCATGTGGATTGTCACCTTAAATGAGAAAGGCATGAAAAGAACGTAAGCTCCAATCTAGCATTAGAAATTACTCCATAAATACCCTTTCTGCTTTGAAAGTATATTTCCCCAATGAAACCAATATACTTTATTTCTTTATAATGATTTCATTTCATGTAAATTTATGAAGGTTGTATAAATATTTGTTAGAATAGGAGTTTGTTTGAATAGTTGATAATGACTAGTGAGAACAAGAGACAAGGGTAGCATCATCAGCAGAGGAGACAAAAGCATCTCTAAAGCATCCACTACATTAACACAACATTTTTTACACAAAGATTTTTAAGTAAGGTCTTTATGTGGTATTTTTGAAAAATATTTTTATATCCAAGAAAATTTAAACATAAGCAATTAAATCTACTTTTAATTTTTTAATTGTTTTTTATGTTGAATTTTGATTAAGAATGTTTTCTGTAGAAAGACCAGATCAGTTTCTCTGCTTTAGTAAACTGTATAATAAAATATGAAACTCATTAAGGAAAAGCAAAGCAGGAAACTTAATATGTCACTTTTAGACACCTATCCTTAGGTGAAAGTAAACAGCATTAATTCCAAGCATTTCCAAACTTTTAGAAGTGGGTGGGTGAAGGAACAAGAGAGAATAAAAACTCACACTACTTCTATAGTGTAGGTTTATATTTTAATGTTTTCATTCTGAAAAGCAAATGAGGCAAATTGAGACTTCCACCTGGCTTGCCAGAATGACTCTCATGAGTACTAACATGCTTAGGTTAACATTTTCATAAACTTTTTTCTCATTTCTTCCAAGTATCTTAAATAACACTAAAAACTACATAACATGATGCAGCTGCTTCGGAAAAACTGTTTGACAGTTCCTCAAAAAGTTAAACATAAAGATATCACATAACCCAGTAATTACATCCTAGGTATACACCAAGGAGAATTGAAAACATATGTCCACAAAAACCTGTAAATGAATGTTCATAGCAGCATCATTCCTATCAGTCAAAAAGTGGAAATAACCCAAACATCCATCAACTGATGAATGGATGAACCAAATGTGGTATATCCTCACAATGGAATATTATTCAGCCCAGAAGAGCTACAAAGTACTGATATGCCACATCACAGGTAAACTCTGAAAACATGCTACACTAAAGGACCAGACACATAAGGCAATATATCGTATGATTCTATTTATATAAATTACTCAGAACAGGCAACTCCATAGAAATATAAACAGATATATGGCTGCTAGGGGCTAGGAGAAGGGGGAAAACTTAAGAGGGGTTTCCTTTGAGGGCGATGAAAAAGTTCTGGAACTAGATAATGGTGATGGTTGCACAACACTGATTATACTCAAAGCCACTGAAACTTTTATGCTATGTGAGTTATACTTTAATTAATGAAAGAAACCCTACAAAACCAAAAACAGATGTTAACATCTTATCAGAGAAAGTTAACTTCCAAAATAAATGATGATTATTTTGGTATTTCTTTAAAAACCTTATTGTTAATTTGATATGGACATTAGAAACATTTTTATTTATATATTTATTTATTTTGGTTGTGCCAGGTCTTAGTTGTGGCATGCAGGATCTTCCACGCCTTGTGTGGGATCTTTGTTGCCGCATACAGGATCTTTAGCTGTGGCATACGGATCTTTAGTTGTGGCATACGAATTCTTAGTTGGGCATGTGGGATCTAGTTCCTTGACCAGGGATCGAACCTGGGCCCCCTGCGTTGGGAGCATAGAGTCTTAGCCACTGGACCACCAGGGAAGTCCCTAGAAACATTTTCAGAAATACACCTTTTTCTATAATGCCCAATACCATCCTTAAGCTTTTCTATTTGTCAGGAATTCGCATAAAAATCTTTTATTGCCAGCTTTGCAATGCTTAGTCTGCCAGGGTAGGAATCAATTTTATATAATATCTAAAGAAGTCAAGTGAGTTTTAAAATAGGCAGAATGTTTTATTAAATTTGGCTTACCAATATTATGTTGAATTTTAGTACAGGAGAGGAACATGTTTATTTCTAATGAAGAAGTTCAGCAAAAGATGAAAAACTTTTTATTTTATTTATTTATTTATTTATTTTTTGGCTGCACTGGGTCTTCATTGCTGTGTGCGGGCTTTCTCTAGTTGTGGCGAGTGGGGGCTACTCTTCATTG